CTTTAAAAAAAAAAACTGATGATGCATCATCGCTCTTTATTTACGATAATTCACGTGGTGCCAATGTCACACTGTGACGGGGCCTGCTCCCGTGATTGGCTCTGCTGAGTCAGGTGATTCGGCATGCACACTAGAGAGTGTGGAAGATTGTCACGAGATAAATGTTTTATTAAAGGGCGCATTCGGTGTCCATCTTGCCCCCCAGTTCCCATGAAATTATTCCGCAAAAATTATTGTTTGGTCCACACATTGCAAAGCGTACACGAGTGTGCGTGCACGCGCGCACGCATGCACGCACGGTTCAACTCGTCGGCGCGTTTCAGAGACTCTGGCGCTTCAGCTCCCGATCTGAGTCCGTGGGACGTCGGCCTCGAGCGAGCTTCTACGTCGCGCATGTTTTTGGTTTTTCACTGCAGTCCGCGGCCCGAGAGCATTCGCGAGATCGACACGCAAACTGCGGCTTGGCCGAGACTGAAATTGGAAACTAAGCTCAGTTCATACGTGCGCCGCGTACGCCCCAGGGTGGATTCATTCGGATGGCAACTTAATTCTAAACAGGCACGGAGGGCAAAGATGCAAACTCGACCTTTATATAGCCCCCCCCCCCCCCGGCCGACGGATTCCGGGAACAATCTAAGTTTAGCCAATCGACGAATGATGACGAGCCCCCTCCGAAACCCAGCATCCGTGTTGATAATTGGCTTTCACCACGTCAATGTCAGTGAGAGGAATCCATCTAATCCTTTTTAATCCTTTGGATTTAGTGCATTTATTATGCAGGACCATAGCATTGTGAGAATTTGTATGAAGAATTATTTAGGATTATGACTATAATAAAAGCAATAATAGAAATGCCTTTTATGAAATCAGCGATGAGTCTCAAAACACACATTCAGGAAAAGCCTGCACTGGGATGTTTGGCCAATTAATTTCACGTGTTTAGCTTGTGAGAAGAAACTGGAGCAACCAGAGAAAACCCACGGGATAACGCTTAGAGCTCCACACTGATATATTCCAATACAGTACTGTACTGCCATCTGCGAGCCACCTCACTGTCCACGCCTCCGATAAACACGGTTGGCTACTACGTACGGTGCGAAAGAAGTTCAAAATACGTACATACAACACTTGGTATTCCCAGGCGGTCTACCATTCAAGCACGAACCAGGCTCGACCCGTCTTAGCTTTGAAATCTGACAAGGTTGGCGCATTCTGGATGATTTCTGTTTTCGATTCGAATTAAACAAAAAAAAATCACAACCGGATCCATTCGACAGCTTCCATCGTTTGGACCTCGGCAATGAGGATTCAGAATCGGGCCCCTCGCAATCCCCCCCCACCGAGAGAGGCCATGAGGGTCGCTCACCGACAGCTGCCGCCGCCGCCGCCACACTTCAACGCTGGATCCGCGCGGATCAGCGACGTCCACGGCAGCGCCACTGCGATTGGCGGCGTAAACCCACGGGGATTGAACGCTGTCGCCGGCCTGCCTGCCCGCTCGCCTCACCCGCCCGCCCGCCCGCCTGCCCCGCCCGCTATCCCAGCCACACACCTGGCTAACCTTGACCTCCACCCCCCCCCCTCTCCAAGCTCCAACCCGTATGGGTGCAAGGAAGATCCATTCACGATCGCTGGCAGGATGTTAATGCGGCTCACTAGCCCGGGCTCATCGATGCCAATCCAAGTGAACCTGACCCACTTTGTTAAGGCGATCCTTCCAGCGAGGCCGATTATAAATGCAGAGACATCCGGGGCACAGAAGCGCGTCAGATCACGCGGCACTGCCGTGCGGCTACGCCCTGGGCAGCAGCGTACTTCCGTGGTCCCACGACCAAGCTCGCGTTTCACATTCGCCCACCCGCATCGACCAGTATGAAGTACGTTCAAAGAAACCATCCCATGACACGTACGGGCATGGGGAAGCCGTCACCCAGAAGTGGATTGACAAAAGGGCGGTAATTTTATTTATTTTACCAGATAAGGCCCACTCAGCTACATAGCTCTTTTTCAGAAGTGACCTGGCCACAAATGATAGCTCGACTAAGTGGCTTATCACGTGTAAATTTCTAGCAGCCAAATACTCGAAATGCACGTTTATACATGTGGAGGGAAAAACCAGAGGGCCCGGAGAAAAATCCACGCAACCACGGGGAGAACACGCAAACTCCAAATATATAGCAGGCGTCAGGGTCGGGATCGAACCCACGACCTCCTGCATAGCAGGCGAGGGAGTTAACATCTCCTAGCCACCGTTATGATGATGAGAGAGAGAGATAACATGCAAACTCCAAATATATAGCAGGCGTCAGGGTCGGGATCGAACCCACGACCTCCTGCATAGCAGGCGAGGGAGTTAATATCTCGCCACCGCAGGTATAAATGCGCTTGAAGTGACAAGGCGAGCGCGGGGCCATGTCCTATTTACGAGCTAGAACCGGTGCCTTTGGAAGGAGCTCACGGTCACATGGCTCCAGTTGGGCGCGCTTACAACGCAAGATGAATTATTCATACTGTTTAAGCACTAACTGGAAGATTTCCTCTGCCGAGCGGAACAGCCGTATCTCGCTGGATTCTGGGAGAGCCCCCCCCCCCCACCACCCCGTTCGTGTGCAAACATTACTTCTGAATATTTCCGTGGCACGGAGTCGGTGGTGTATGTGGCGAGTGGTTCATGCACACCGCTATGAACCGATGACCTGAGTGCGATTCCTGCCCCTTGGCTGACATTCGTGACATTTAGTGTCAGCCAAGGGGCGAATGGGAATAGAGTGACAAGGCGTTTTTCCGTTGCAGCACCAACGTTTTGGAACAACCTTGTTTCCTCTTTTAACATCGTAAATATGCCTTTAAAAATACCACGAAGCAGAAGATTGGTGGTGGATACGGCTGCACTTGCAAATACAATTTGTAACTTTCATACTTACCAATTTTTTACTGATTCAATTATGTGCAATTTCTTTTATGGACTGTGTGTTGTCTTGGTGTGGTCTGGGACTGTTTTTGCTGTTGTTTTGCTGCATTGCCCAAGCTTTGGAATCGGTGTACTTATGCAATTTTAACTTACATTTTTACTAATTTGCTTCCTTTCCTATACTTTTGCACTCCTATCGTGTATTTGTATTGCTTGTTGTTGTAACTTTCTGACCCGCTCCTACTGGACATCTGTGAAAAAAGAGCTTCACAGCTCATCGGATTTCTCCAGTATAAATAAAGATTAATATTCTGATCTGATCCGGAGTGTCGAGTTATATCTGAGCTCATACTGGGCTCCACCCTTCACCCACCCGCATTGTCCAGAGTGGTGAAGTATGGACCAACAACGGCGTGGGGTGGCCTCCATCTAAACAGTGGATTGGCTAAGGCCCGTAAAATATGTTTTACTATTTTGAAGAATCTTTAGACCAGATCAAAAAAATATATATCATCCTTCCCCAGAACAATTTCCCCCAATTTTATCCCCATCGCCAGAGCAGCACGCAACCCTTCGTGTCGCACAAGGCGCCCGCGGAAGCGGATACCACAGAGCTCCCTCTGAGCATACTTCAAGTGACCCCTGGTCCGGCCCTACAACCATCGTCTTCGTCACGCAAAGACGCGGGTCGCCTGACTGCCAGCCGGCGGCAGCGGCAACGGATAACGCCTTGAGCGTAAACGCCCGTGCGCGAACCCCACGACACCGCTGCAAACGATGTTCCCCATTCTGACGTTTCCTCCTCGCACTCATAGGCTGTGAGACGCGGCCCGCAGGAGCGGTTTCTCTGCCTCTCGCCGACAGCTACTCGAAGTGCACTGCACGCAACGCCGCCCTTGACAAAGGGCACTCGGATTACATCCCTGGCAGGGCGCCAACGCTGGGGTTGCCACCTATGAGCTACAAAAAAATCCGGGACATTGTTATTATTATTACTACTACTACTATTAGCACGTTTGTTTTACCGGGAAAGCCTCATCGAGTCCCACGACTCTCTTTTTAGGAGGGTCCTGCCGATGCGAAAAATAATATCTCACGATACCAGAAGAGGGAAGAGCGGCACGTAAACTCGTCGTCCTGAGCGGGGTAATTATTACTCAATCAAAAAAAAATCTCAACAGCTGCATCAACAAGAGGATGATACTGCCCATCCATAGGGGGCAGTGGGGGCGGCCTGGCCTGCACTCGACCGATTACGCCCAGGGTGGGGAACCGTCGTCTTGCCGGGAGCCGAATAGAATTCACAAACACCTCAGGCAGAGGGCCACAAATTAATAGACAGGCCGATCCTATAATAATGCAAACAATTATGACGGCACATCTTCAGAGGTGAATGAATGTGCTAAAATTGCAAACGCAGCATTGTTGCCAGTTGCAATATAATTCCCCCTCTAGTAACCGATTAGTGCAGCTGAAATGCTTGCAGTGATAATATAATTTGATGCCCATTTCAAAGTGGCAGGCCTCATGTGGACGCGGGCCGTGTGAAATGAAGTCGTGGGCCAAAGGTCATAGGTTCTCGATCCCTGGATTAACCGAGGGCCTGCAGTAACGTCCTGGCAGCATAGCACTGTGATCAGCAGCTGGCCTACAAAGATCTCTCCCCTCACCCAACGCTGCTTGCCGACTGGTTGCCTCGCCGATGAATTGGGATGCAGGGGTGAATTGTGACGTGTCTAGTCATTACCATGAATACAATGTGAATTTATATCCCGTCTCAGCGCGACGTGTCACTAGACATTATACAAAGGCTGTGTGCATATTTAATCTACAGACAAGAAGGCAGTCAGTCGTAGGCGGAGGTAAAAGGAAGGCCGTGAGCCTGAACTTGAACAGCGGGGAATCAGGGGGTTCCAGACGATGGAAGCAGCAGTGGAAAATGCACACAGAGACAAAACAAACGTGGACCAAAGCTAAGCAACAGCTGCGGCACAACCAGAGCAGAGGAAAGGAGAGAGCGTGGCGAGGGAGTTAGGGAGGCGACAAGATGGCTGAGGAAGGAACCGAGCGCAGGCGAGCGGCGACGCACCTTGGAGATGAGCTCGTCGTGGTTGGCCAGGTGCGCGCGGCAGTGCACGCAGCTGTACTTGCGGTGGCAGTTGGGCAGGTACGCCTGGAAGGTCTTGGACTTTGTGAGCTTCACCATGCTGAGGGAGGGCGCCGCCTGCTGCTGCGCCTGCTGCCGGCGCCGCCCCTCGTCGCTGTCGCCGAGGCCCGCGTTTGCCGCCGGCGGGTGCGGCCGCGGGGACACGCACGCCGTGAAGCGGCGCAGGCACGGGCACGCCGCCGGGCAGGACCACGCGGGCAGGGGCCAGCAGCCGCCGGCGGCGCCACCGCCGCCCCGGCCGCCGGGGCCACCGCCGCCGCCCTGGCCGCCCTGGCCGCCGCCCTGGCCGCCGCCCTGGCCGCCGCCCTGGCCGCCTCCCTGGCCGCCGGGGGGACGGCAGCAGCAGCAGCCGGGCAGAGGGAGGCAGCAGCAGCAGCAGAAGAAGCACGAGGAGGCGGCGGCGGCGGCGGCGGCGGCGGCGGCGGAGGAGGAAGAGGCGCAGGCGTCGCGGCCGCCGCAGCAGCAAAACGGGAAGGCGTTGTTGTGCCCCGGCTGCCGCTGCTGCTGCTGCTGCTGCTGCTGTTGGGGCGGCGGCGGCGGCGGCGGCGGCGGCGGGCACGGGAAGGCCGGGCAGGGCAGGCACTGCAGCAGGGAGGCCCACGCCGTCTTTACGCCGGGGCGGGGCGGCCTCGGCGAGCCCCTCGCGCCGGCCCCCACAAAGCGGTGTCTGCACGCGGTGGGCGCAGCGGCGCGAGGGTTAAACGAGGCGCGACACGCTCGGGCACCGGGGCTTCGTTCCCGCGGAGCCAGCGGGCGGGCGAGCGGGCGCAAAGCGCAAGGTCACGCGCAGCGACGGAGGAGGCACCGCCTGGGAGGTGCGGAGTGCCAAATGATTTATGATGAATGCGGTTACAGAGAAGCCACGTGGTGAAGGTGGCATGGCAGCTCCAAGGTGAAGGGGCGACGGGGAGGACACAAGGGTTTCCCGTCGCTTGCAAGGCCTTCATGAAGTCCGAGGTCCAACGTAGCGAGAGGCGGCACCGTCACACCGGAGGAGGAGTGGGGAGGGGGATGAGGGGGAGAAGCCAGGTAATAGATGTAGCTGGGTGGATCAGTGGGCAGAGCACTGAGTCAGTGTGGCTGAGATCCTGGGTTAACATCTGGGGTCATGTAACCAGTGATTAGACCGACTTCTCCAGTGTAGCGAGTTATTGGTAGCAGCCATGGCTCACACGGAGAGAAACAATCTCACATAGAGGCACGGAGCTGCACGTAAACTGGGTTATTGGGTTGGGAGTAAACCAGACTGTCTCAAGCGGAGGGCGTTGATGGTTTCAGCCAGGTCACGCAGGCTGCACAAACAAACCGTAATAATAATACAATTGGATTTCCACCAAATCTATCCCAGCTTTGAGACTTCAAACAATAAGTTTGATTGACAACCACCAAACTCTCCTTGCAAGCCACGTAAAAAGTGAGCCCCGAGTGGAGATAAGAAAGGGTATTTTGAAGTTCACTTCAGAAGTTGTTCTGTTATATCGCCCGAATGGGAAAGCGAAAGTAAGCGTGTGATATCGTGCACCGTCAAGACTAGCTGCATGGCGTAAAAATAAAGTGGACTTCTTTTTCTGTTGTCGCCGGGAAGAAATATGTTGTGACACTCCAGTCGAAAGAAACGCAATCATTGAATAATTATATCAGAATAGGCCAGACCACTCCATGGGGCCCATCAGCCCAGGAGAGGATAGCAGTCACATTGTAGAGATCCATAACACGATATATCACGGTGAACTGATGGTTAGTGAAATCACGAAAATACAAGGCTATGTCACACTAAGTACGAATATAATGAAAGTGTTATTTTGGTCCATCAGCCTATTGGCCTCCTGCACCCGTGTCGTCCGGCAGCAATTGTTTACCACGTTGGGCTGCCACGCTCGCCATTGTGGGTCACGCGGTGGCCAAACACCCCGTGTCATCGATCCTCTTATTCCTGCCCCGCCGGAGACCAAAGGCCGATGTCCAGCGCAACGACAAAACGGGCACGGTCACCCCGTTACACGCACGGAACGGTGAAACGTTGATCTTGCGCCCGTGATTCTAGGCGTGCAACGTGAGCTTAAGAATCAATGCTAAATCGGCCGCATCGTTAGAACCCATGCCACCGATACGACGGGATTCACCATCACCATCGTGTGCCGTGCTCTGTCCATGGTGCCTGCGGGTCGGGACTAGCGACCGAGTGGCAGCCAAAGGAGGGAATCCGACCGATAGGGGTGACGTCCGCCACGGAGATGGAACGATGAAATCAGCTCATGTCCTAGAGCTAGGTGGAATCGTTGGATCGCGAGACCATTACCAACGGAAGCTATCAAATGAATAAAAGTTATGACTGTGAAATCGAACTTCTGCACTCGCAGGGGAGTAGAAATGAGAGGGGAGAGGTAGGTGAGTGTGTGGAGGGGAGTAGAGTGAGATGAGAGGGGAGAGGTAGGTGAGTGTGTGGAGGGGAGTAGAGTGAGATGAGAGGTAGGAGAGTGTGGAGGGGAGTAGAGTGAGATGAGAGGGGAGAGGTAGGTGAGTGTGTGGAGGGGAGTAGAGTGAGATGAGAGGGGAGAGGTAGGTGAGTGTGTGGAGGGGAGTATAGTGAGCTGAGAGGGGAGAGGTAGGCAGGGGCCAACTGTTAAAAGACAATTAATCAGCTTAAACATAATTAATTATCCATTTGCGGAATATCCTATTCATCGCGCAGATTGGGGGGGGGGGGGGGGGGGGAACCTGCATCCTCAGCTCGTCAGCCAAAACCCACGTGTCGGCGATTCCGAGAGAGAACTCACCGATGAAAGAGACGAGGCCGCTATTTCACCACGCTCCTCGCGGACACACGGCACACGGCACACCGCAAGTCGCAGGCGGCACGGGGATCAAGGAGCCGATCGATACGCGGCGCTAATTACGCTAATTGATTCCACGACTGCGGCTCCCCGTGCACTCCGCGAGCACACCCAGGCAGGGTCACGCGTGCACGCGCGCGCACGTGCGTGTGTGCGCGTGTGTCAACTGGTCACCCCGGTCAGTTACTGCCGATCAATCAAGCCTCTCAAATCGTACCCTATAGCACTCGGATTAATCCCAATGACCTGTCGCCACCACTCCACTCGGACTCAAAGTGCACCCAGCCCCGTACGACCGCCAGGGAAATGTCATCATCGCCAGCGAGAGGTGGGCGAGTGTGTGCGTGCGTGTGTCAGGTACGTGCGTGCATGCAGGAATATGTGTGTGTGCGTGTGTGAGAGGTAGCACGCTGCACTAAGAAACCCCGCAGGGGCGGTGGTGGTACTGATGATACACGTGGGGAGCAGTGGCGAAGCGGTCAGCGCACTGCACTACCAACCTGGCAACCTGAGTTTGATTCCGGCCACGGCTAACATTGGTGGTGATATCTGAACTAGTACTAGGCCTCCCCGAGGTTGATTCAACCTTACATTTTAATCTGGTTCAGCGTGTAAACCTCAGCACTGGTGAGACAAAAGCGGTTTGCCTTGGTGCTGACCGCATCAGCCTTCCGGCCTTAACAGGTGCTCGCTAACAGCAATTCAATTATGTTAAAGAACCTCATTGGCACACTGCAGTCTCGGCGCCACGAGGTGATTCTCAGCGGCGGAGAGAAATTAGCAACGAAAAAAACCGAGTCATCCCTTTGTCAATCCACCGCTGAAGGTGTCCCCACGTTGCATTGCTCACTGGGGCTGTTCGACCACACTACACCAAGCCGGTCAGTACGGATTTGGTGAAGGGGGGATGCCCCGGGCATCACTCGCCGCCGACGTCAGCCGTGCCCTGGGTGACCAGGTTGAGGGCGCGGTGCACCAACTCCCGCGCCATCGCTCCGCGGGGTGAAGTGGCGCCGTGCTGAACAACTCGCGGGCCGCGCGGCAGCACCAACTGGATTCACTTTCACCAGCGGGATGACGAGTCTCGCCCGCGAGCGTGACGCCGGGCCGTGAGTCTGCCAGTAGCGGGCGACGATTGCCGCGTAACAATCCCGATTGCACAAACAAAAGCGTAAACCCCACACACGTCTTCTCTCTTCGAGTTTGACGAGCATATGTAAAGGACTAAATGGACGTGAATAGAAAATGTTTATTTGGTCCATCAGGCTGTGCTTTCATTGTTGCTCTCTGTACCGAATACAGCATTTGTATTTTCACTCGTGATACCCCGGACTCCCTGGAGAAAGTCGGAGTCACACTGGGGGGCTCTCGCCTGGTCGTATGCAAAGTTTCTGCCCACGAGCCCTTTCTGGACGAATATTTTGCGGCAGCCTTTAAAACTGGAAATCTCAACATTCTTCGTGTCGACAGCACTGTCAAGTCCCGTTAAGTAAAGGCTGCTGCCATGAGGATGGCAAGCTCACTCAACTTGAGTTATGGAGTCCGTCATTTGTCCAGATGGTTCGATAGGCCGATGGACTGGAACAAATATGTCTTGTCACGTCGACGGTGACGAATGGGAAGTCTGCGAATACGAAACGCACAATACACACCACACACACACCCACCCACAGGAGCACAGCAGCCTGAGTATTTCCTCGTTGGCACTGAGGGGCGCGAGCCGGACAGCTTGCAAAGGGCAGGCTTCCCTTACGCCGAGTGCCTCGGAGCCTGGTCCCACAGGGGCGGCCCAGTGTTCTTGCTGCCCGCGTTACCATGTCTGGGGGAAGGGGGGCAGGGTGCCTACACCTCTCCCCCCCCCCCCACCATGCCTCGCCTCACAGGGTCCCGCTCTCTCCGACCGCCACACAACGCAGGCTCGACCGCACTTCGCTTCTATCCACGGAGAATTGAAAATTTAAAACAAAGCTAGCATGTTGTTATTCTTAGAGGCTGCCGTGGACTAAATGGCACGCACGCTGGGCTTGCGATCCAGAGGGCACCAGCAGGTGGTTCAAGTTGATCGCCCGGTGCGGCAGTTGAAAGGTTGGCGCAAGTTTCTTTAATCACGCCACCACCCCACCACCTCTGTACACACTCACATTTTTAAATGTCTGTGCGCCGTAGTTAGTCAGGTCGGCAGATGGTGTGTGGTGGGGTAGAGTGTGGGAACTCCTAAAAGGGTTATCTAAAGCTGCCCTTCGTGGAGGCTCTTACGCCAGCAATAGAAAAAAAAATCAAGCAATTGCATGGATGCGCCTTCATCCACTGCGCACGTATTCCTGCAGACGCCCAAATGCT